TCTAACATTAAACAATGAAATAAATGTGAGCTACACATACATTTAATAAAGATTAAGGAAAAAGAATAAAATAATTATTTTCCACCTCACTTATTTCAGTCCCAGATCACAACTCACAAGAATTCACACACATGCCCACGCTCACTCAGTATGGGACAATGTAGGCGGGCCAATTAACCTGACGTGAGCATCTTGGGGATGTGGGAGGAAACCAGAGGAGCCAGCATACATGTGCAAACTCCGCACAAACAGTGGGCCCAGCAGGAAATCAATTTTTCCCTCAGCAATGTTATAACAAAAATGACACCAAGTAAAATGACATTATTAAGGAACTGTTATCATTAAAATGTCAAGAACTAAAGAAAATGAGGGACACCTGAAGCAGCAAGAGAAAAAAAAACTTACATACAAAAAAAAAAAAACCCATTTGGCTACCAGATTTTTTCCGTAGAAATTTTGCAAGCTAGAAGGGAGTGGCATGATAAAGTGCTAAAAAAAAAATCTTCCAAAAATTCTCTACCTAGCAAAGTTTAGGTCCCACATTGAAAGAAAGAAAAAGAGTTTTCCAGACAAGCAAAAGCTAAGAGTTTGTCACCAACTAAATTCCCCTTACAAAAATATATTAAAGGGACTTAAACCAAAAAGAGAGGGTACTAATTAGTAATAAGAAAACATATGAAACCATAAATTTCACAGGTATGAGTAAATATATAGTAAAGGTAGTGGATTAATAACATAAAGATCATGTGGAAGTTAAATAACATAAGTAATGAAATTAAAATAATTAGGTAAGAATCAACTATATAAATAATATAAACTATTATAACAAAAACGCAAAACATGGAAGAGTAAAAATGTAGTTTTAAAATGTATTCAAAGCCCTGGCTGGTGTAGCTCAGTGGATTGAGCGTGGGCTGCAAACCAAGAGGTTGCCAGTTCCATTCCCAGTCAGGGCACATGCCAGGGTTGCAGGCCAGGTCCCTGATATAGGGCCCAGGAGAAGCAACCACACATTGATGATCCTCTCCCTCTCATTCTTCCTCTCCTTACCTTTCTCTTAAAATGAATAAATAAGATCTTTAAGAAATAAAAGTAAAATAAAATGCATTCAAATTTAAGTTGCTGTCAACTTACAATAAACTGTATCTATATACATGTGTGTATATATACTTATATATATATATGACATTATATATGAGATTCGTCATAATGGCAAAACAAAAACTGATGGTAGATACACAAAAAGATAATGAGAAAAGAATATAAACATAACACTAAAGAAAGTCATCAAGCCACAGGAGAAGAAGAGAGGAAAGGAAGAGAAACTACCAAATAACAAAAAGGCGTTAAGTACATACTTATCAATAAATGCTTAAAATGTAAATGGACTAACTTCTCAAATCAAAAGAGTGGCTCAGTGTATTTAAAAAAAATAAAGCTCCATCTATATGCTGCCTGCAAGGAGACTCCCTTCAGATGCAAGAGCACACACAGACTGAAAGGGAAGGAATGTAAAAAGATGGGCCATGTAAATGGAAACCAAAAGAAAGCTGAAGTAGCTATACTTGTCAGAGAAAACAGACTTTAAAACAAAGGTTGTAATAAAACACAGAGAATGGAATTATATAATGATAAAAGGGTAAATCCAACAAGAAGAGATAATATTTGTAAATATTTATGCAGCAAACATAAGAACGCCTAAATATATACAGCAAATATTAACAGACCAAAAGGGAGAAACTGACAGCATACAATAGTAGGAAACTATAATACCCCACTTACACCAAGGATTACCAGACAGAAAATCAATAACAAACATGGCTTTTAAATAACACATTAGACCAGATAGACTTAATAGATATGTATAGAACATTCCATCCGAGAACAGCAGAATACATTCTTATCAAGTACCAATGAAACATTCTCCAGAAGAAATATAAGTTAAGCCACAAAGGAAGTCTTAATAAAGTTAAGAAGACTGAAATCATATCTAACATCTTTTCCAAATGCAGTGGTATGAAACCAGAAATCAACTAAAAGAATAAAAATCTTCTATACAATATTAGCAAATCAAATTCAAATGTACTTTAAGAGAATCACACATTCTGACTAAGTAGGATTTATTCCAGGAATGAAAGAATGGTTTAACATACACAAGTCAATCAACAGGATACACTGAACTAACAAAACCAAGGATAAAAAGCATATGATCATCTCAATAGATGCAAAAAAAAAGGCATTTGACAAAGTTCAACGTACGCTTGTGATTAAAATGGGCAACACAGTGGGTCTACGGGGAACATTCCTCAGCATATATGATAAGCCCATAGCTACATCACAGTCAATGGAAAATAGCTGAAACCTTTTCATCTAATATCAGGAACAATTCAAGACTGTCCACTTTTGCCACTTTTATTTCACATAGTACTGAAGTCCTAGACAGAGCAATAAGGCGAGTAAAAGAAAAAAAAAAACAAAACAAAAACGCATCCAGCCTGGTTGGTGTGGCTCAGTGGACTGAGCGCAGGCCTACAAACTGAAAGGTCTCAGGTTCGATTCCCAGTTGGGGCACATGCCTGTGTTGCAGGCCGGGTCCCAGTTGGGGACGTGTGAGAGGCAACTGATCAATGTATCTCTCAAACACTGATGTTTCTCCCTCCCTTCCCCCTCTCTAAAAAAAGTAAATAAAATATATTTTTAAAAAAGGCATCCAGATTGACAAGAGGTAAAACTATCACTATTTGTGGATTATATAATTTTATATATTTTTTAAAAAACCCTAAAGACTCCACCGAAACACTGAGAACTAATAAATTCAGTAAAGTTGCAGGGTACAAAATCAGTTCACAAAAATTTGTTGTTTTTCTGTATACTAAAATTATTAGAAATAGAGGTTAAGAAAACAATCCCATTTACAACTACATTTTAAAAAATAAGTAAAATGCCTAGGAATAAATTTAACCAGAGATGAAAGACCTATACACTAAAAACTTTAAGACACTGGTTTAAAAAAATGACAAAAATAAATGGAAAGGTAGTCCATGCTCGTGAACTGAAAGAATCAATGTTGTTAAAATGTCCATACTACTGAAAGCAATCTACAGATTCATTGCAATCACTAGCAAAATTCCAATGGTGATTTTTCATAGAATTTTTTGAAAATTCTGAAATTTGTATTGAAGCACATAATACCATGAATAGCCAAAGCAATCTTAAGGAAAACAAAGCCACAATCTTAAGAAAAACAAAGCCAGAGGCATCACGCTCCCTGATTTCAAACAGTATTAAAAAGTATAGTACTCAAAACAGTATGATACTGGCATAAAAGCAAACACATAGATCACTGGAACAGAAGAGATTTCAGAATTAAACCCACACATATATAGCTAATTGATTTAAGAATACACAATGGGGATAAACGGCAATGGGAAAACTGGACAGCTTCATGCCAGAGAATGAAACTAGATCAGGATCTTACACCATACACAAAAATTAACTCAAAATATCATACTATTTTATTTAAAATTATTAATGTAAAATGTTATTCATGTAATCATAACCATAAAATATCTATATATACTTACCTCCTTTTGTTCCTTAGAGTAAGAAAATTCCAGAAATTGTAATGTTTGTATACTAAATCACACTCTTCCACTCACTAGGGTTCACTGAAAGCATATGTTCAACAACCCACCAACTTTCTCCTTGCAGAGTAACATTTTAGACATTTAAAGCAGAATGAAGCATTTAGGCATAAGAAGAAATTAAGGAAGTGAGAATTTATAGTACTCATTCCATGAATTTCCAGTGTTCATGTAAGATTTGACCTCATATTACCACATACCAATTGTCAATAACCATGACCAAGAGACAGACAAAATTCTAGCTCTGAAAATAAGGATCAAATTCTTATTTGCTAAGCTCTAGGAATCACACACTCTCCCTCTCAAACCCATTCATCATTTTATGCCCAGTTTTAACAGCCTTGGTTATCCCTCAGTGCTAGATTGAAAACAGGTTTTGAGAGGGAAGGCTGGTGGAGACAAGCCCTTCAACAGCAGGGCTGATCCCCAGCCAATAGACAGTTATGACGGTGCCATCTATTCTATCATTGAAGTTGTTCCTCATCGGTTTCTAGTCACTATCCCTCAGTCTGCTAGTTGCATCCTCACCACTGCTCTGGTTCAATCCTGGGATTCCCCAAATCCTCCCACAATGCACCAGCCACAAAACTTGGTTTTCCTCTTTTCTTGCTTTCTTTTCCTGTGGCTTGATGACTTTCTTTAGTGTTATGTTTATATTCCTTTCTCATTATCTTTTTGTGTATCTACCATCAGTTTTTGCTTTGCCATTATACGTATGGCAAATATGTATATGCCATATGATATATATGGAGTCTCATATATATCATATACGTGTATATATATATGATATATATGTAGTTTGTGTATGTAGTTATTTATAGTTTAAGTTGACAGCAACTTAAATTTGAATGAATTTTAAAAGGAACAAGGAATTTCTGGCAGAGCAAGGGACCTCCAGAACCTCGCTCCAGCCCTGCAACCAGCCTCCAGTGGGTTCTGTCAGTGTCTTTTCTGTACTGATAGTTAAAGAGTGCAGTCCAATGAGTCTATGATATACATTTTTCCCATTTTAACATTTCCAAAATCAGAATCCTTTTCAAAATAGAAAAATGGTGACTCACAACTTTATAGCATTCTTAGGGGCACAAAAATGCCACTCATAACCAACAGTGGCTTAGAATCAACAACATAAGGTATGTTGAATATCATCCTTTATTAACAACAGTAAGAAGCTATAGCTAACAACTGAGAAGTCAGGTGTAAGACTGAGAAAAAACAAAACAAAACAAAACTCAACATACCATTCTAGCTCCATTTTATATAGCAAGACAAACAACATGAAACTCCAAACATACTCTCTTCCATGTACCATTTTAAAAGTGGAAATCAAATACCAAGTTGGATACTTTTAATTACCTTCAAAGCCATCATTATCAATGTCACCAAGATTAACTATAGACTCCCCAAATCTTGCGGCATATTTGTCACTTCCAATGAGCTCTGTCTCCATTTCATTCATTGTTGCTCCCTAGACAGAAGAGGGGAGAAAGGTGTCATTACAACACTCCCTGACAACTTTACACATGATTCACTGTTGTAATTGGATATGGATTTTCCCTAATGCTTTAAACAAATTGGACAAACTACAGACTGAGCTTTAGTACACACGTCTCAGTTCGATTCTATAAATATTTATCAAGTATATGCCAACACATAATAGTATGATTAGAGCTCAGAGGATATAACAAATTGTCAAACTCATGATCTCTGGCTTTGAAAATCCAATAAATCATTTTGATAATTCAATTTAGCAAATATGGAGTTCCTACTGAAGGCACTGCACTGTGCGAAGAATGAACTGGTGGAAGGGGACAAGGCAGCATGTTTATACAACACACTTGCTTTCCTGAAGAAGCCCAGAGTTGCAGGAGGAGCTAAGCACAAGTATGTGGATGACTTAGAAGCACAGACTGCTTTGCAATATGAAGAAGCAAGGAGAGCATATCTAATTTTGAGAGCCAGGGGAGATTTTATAAATGATATTGGAGGTGGCTACTGAAGGAGGAGCATAATTTGGATATAGAGAGAAAATTACCAGCAAAACATGAATTCCAAAGGATGTGGCTATACTGAAGAGTATGCATAATAAATGAGACTGGAGCTTTGTGGGGTGGGACAGTGAATGCGGGGGGAACTGACTCTCAATTTAGAGGACAAGAGGAAGCCACTGAAGGTTTCTGAGTTGAGGAGTGATGCTACTGAAGCTGGCCTCTGGCACCTTTTCCCAGCAGTAATGGGACATAGATTGGTCCAGTGCTCTCTCTGAAGTTAGATGAGTTACAATAAGACATTCAGTAATGCTGCAATAACAGCTAGCAGAGCCTCTCAACTTTGATCATGTCACTCCCTTGTAGGGAAAAAAATTTCATGTGCTACTTACTTATCATTGACCCTTTACTCCTCTTCAAATAAGTCTACTCATCACTCCTTAAACACAAATCTATTCTTCCCCTTAGCAAGTGCCCTTCACCTTTTGCTTTCCAACAATAACAACAAAAAACCCTCTCCTTATTTTGATCCCAGAGCAATGCCTAATTTAAAGAGCAAAAGGCAGAAGAGATTCCAACAAGAATGAGAAGGTATAGACCTAAGAAAACTCAATGGCACTGAAGTTCCAGGGAAGAGTTTCCAAAGTAGTAATCACTCTTTTTTAAGTATTCTCCAGTCCCCGAGAATGGTGACCAAGAATCCGCTGGGGGCCCCCTGAGAGCTACTTCAGTGGAAGTAGGTGGAAACCATATTCATTCAAGTACCATTCTTTCTTGAGCTCATTCAGAAACAATTACTGAGCACCCTGCCCAGGACTCTTTCAGGCCCTGAGGAAACAGCAGTGAAAGAGACAGCTGATCCCTTTCCCCACAGTGCCCACATTCCAATAGACATGAGCAAACCAAACTAGTAAGTGTATGCTGTAACGCCTTGGTAGCAGTGCTTAGTTACTTTTTAGAGAGGTATAAAACAGGACGTTAAAAAGGAACAAAGGAAGAATAATCTACGCTAGAGCAGGTTTCCAAAGCTGAAATGAATTATGGAATTAACCCCAGTGTTCGAAGTGGTGTCTCAGGGCAGGAGTGAGGAAAGCACAATGGGCAGACCTGTAGGTAGGGCTTGTCTCACATCCTTCAAGCAGAGGAGCTCCACTTTTCCCTGTTTTCATATTGGGAGGGCTTAGATTTCAATGGGGAGAAAAGGTCCTACACTGCCTTAGCTTAGGTAAATATGCTATTGTTTAAACCATTCTCAAAAAGTGTGACACAAGAAGGGGAAGAGAAGTATGCAGAATGAGGCTGTAGCTAGTATAATGCCTACTCATTTATGAGGAGGGAAATATGAAATTATCTCTGCAAGGAAAAGTAATAATACCTGATATCACATTAGTGTGATATGATCGCTTTGTAGACAATATGCTTTTACTGTTAAGTTTAGACTGAAACATAATCTAGAAATTTCTAATGCATAAGTAACTGCTTTACATCTGGAACCTTCAGAATCTCTCGGTTGCTTAAGACTATGGTCTCTCCTAAAATTTAGAAAGTTTACTCTGATGCTTATTTATTAAATACTGTGAAATCATTGATTTAAATAAGATTATAAACACCTTCATGAAACACATTTTACTTTGTTGAATTCTGACTGAATATTCAGTGCCTTAAGAAATGAACTAATGTTCTCACAAACCAATTTCTGCCCTTAAATCTAAGGCAGGCCAAAAAGACCTCATTAAGGACCTTATGAATTCTTTACTTTGATTTAATGCCAAGAAGATAAACTGGCAAGTCAAGGCCAGCAGAACTCTTAATCGACCTGTCAAGGATTCGGTTTCTACTCCAAAATATTCCCCGTAATGAAAAACTCAACAAAAGCAGCAATTATGTACTTCTATAACTATTATACCCACTTTGGAGTAAATTATGTCAATTTTATATTCTTATCAAGGGTATCATCTATATTAACTGTGCAAATTAACATTTTATCAAAACATGTCTCGCCCGGACCAGCATGGCTCACTTGGTTGAGCATCATCGTCCCACAAAGCGCAAGGTGGTTCGTTCGATTCCCAGTCAGAGCACAATGCCCGGGTTGTGGGCCAGGGCCCTGGTTGGGTTAGGGTGCAGGTGAGGGGCAACTGATTGATGTTTCTCTCACACATGGATATTTCTCTCCCTTTTTCCCTCCCTTCCCCTCTTTAAAATCTTTTAAAAAATGTCTTGTTTTCAATCGTCAAATCAAGAAATTGAAATTTTCATATTTTATTTTCTGCTTCTAGTAATATTTTATAATTATTCAGTTATATATAGGGACAATTCACTGCAATAAGAAATCCACAATTTCTAAGGCAATATCTTATGTCCCACAAAAAGAAATTTTACTCGTTCACATTAGATTTGTCATAGTAAAAACTGAAGGAAGCTTCCCCTGTTGAAGGGAACACATAACAACTGTGAACTAACTCCAGAACAACTGATCTCATATTCTGGAATATCGAAATGGGATAGCCGCCCATTTATCGGCATGTTCCACTTCATTTTTAGAGCATCACTACAATACCAGAATTTCTACTTTACCAGTATAATAAGCCTAAAAACCTATAGTCTCAGAACTCTGGAATAAGTACCAAACATAGTCCCCTAGGGGGCTCCCAGTCCTAGGATCAGCCGACTCACCCAGCCGGAGTTGATGTACACAAACACTCTTCCTTCCTCTCTGATGATGCTCTGCATCGGAGCCCCCACGAGAAGGTCGGAGAAGCCATCCGCGTTGAGGTCCACCGCACAGACAGATGCGCCAAAATAAGAGCCAAGCTGCTCCAAAGCAAACCAGATCCAGTGGTTGAAACAACAGTAGGGTCATTTCCAAAGGCCCTCCGTGATAACAAATGTAGAGACATATTACCTTTTTACCTTTCATTTCATGTAAGATACTTAGTCCTTTTGCATCAATGCTGAATATGTATGCCTGCAATTGGAAAGAGATTTAGAAAAGGTTCAACTGCTGTCCCACTGAAAAAGTCTTTATTTGATCAAAACATTAATTTTCATAACTTGTAACTGCTTTAATGTATTTTTAAAAATGTATTTTAATAGTGACAGCACCGGTGTAGGAAATCGCATTCAGATTCGCATGCCTTCTCTGCACAGCTACCTTCCTGGGTACTACCTTGTGGGTCCCTGAGAGGGCGCACAGAAAGCATGGTGAGCCTCACTGTCAAAGTAAGGCTCAGAAAAATTTAGGAACATTTACACAACAATGGAACAAAAAGTAAAACCAGAAATAACATCTCATTCTTTCTCCTCTTACCATTACACAGGGAGCTGCCTCGATTTCCCTTTAGCTGTAAACTTATTAACCAACAAATACATTAACATCTTAAAATCTCTCCAAAACAATTTACTCATAAGAAAGAAAAGCTTAATTTGACTTATGTAATTTTCCTTAAGGCTTTTCTGCTACTAAAGTTTATTTAAAAGCCATACAAATTTCAGCAACTCCACTGAATATAGAACACTTCTCATCATACCAAGCTTTCATTCCTTAGGAATTCTGCAGTTCCTCCCTGAATATCTCCTTCGGTCATGCAATGTAACTGAACGCTTGTAAAGAAATAAATTAAAAAATGTAGTTCTTACTTTTCCAATCTGTTCATGTTGAGGGGCTCCTCCAACTACTTCGGTAGTGTGCCTGCTCCGAAAATGACCAGCTCCAACCGAGTATCCTTCAACAAAATGGAAACAAGTATGAGGGAAATAAGACTGCAATGGGTAAAATATATGTATTAGTGTAAAGCCACTCAGAATTAAATTGAGACTGAATACAAAACAACTACACTGAACAGTTCTAAGAATATTTAGCATAGCAACACACAAAAGTGGTCATTCATTATGTGCTTTAAGCAATTATTAATATGTGCTATGAAACTACTAACATGGCTTTTTATTTTCAAGTCCTAGAAATCAAAGATAGCACCTTGACATTGGGTTTGTTAGTCCCTGTAGTATCGAGACATTCAAGCTTCTAGGATTACAATGGAAATATTTTAGAATATATAAAATATGACACTTTAAACTTTAAGTAAAAAGTTTCCTAAATTATAACTTTTTGCCATAAAATCTTCTTATTGTAATAAAATATTATGCTGATAAAAATGGGAAAATATTTTTATTTTATTCTGTGATGAAAGGCCTACCACTGAGTGACATTTTATAACATGTGAAGCTATCCTTCAACCATAAGCAAGTACATGTTGAATGGTAAATAAGTTCCCTCTGTTTGAAAATGAATTCCTTCTGTTTCAATGGAAAAGTAATACTGATTGTTCTTATAATTTTTTCTGAGAATAGGCTGCTCACATTTGATGTACATATGGTTTAAGCCAATCTGTACTTCCTAAGAAACTATAGGAAAAGCATTCCTTTTACTATAACAGGGGAATTAATGCCAGAAAAATCTTGTGTTTCTGCTGAAACACAGACTATATAGTATCTCACTGCTAACTTATTAAACAAGAATAAGAATAAATATAAGAATAAGAAGATAAAAATAGTTAAGCTCTGGGAAATATTCTAAGAATGTAGGAGGCAAAGGTCAATGAGCTGTTTTTAGACCTGTAAGCTTCACAATGTTACCCATTGTGTGGAATGCTGTGGGCAATCTGACTTTGTCAATCCTTTAAGAAACGATACTCACTCACCGTTATATAACTAAATGAGACAATTCATGAAGAGTGCTTGCGTAAGTTCCTGGGATACGATAAGCACTCAATAATGCTATCTTTGTAATGATCAGTGGACCACATAAAGATACAGGCTCGTGAGCGTGTTACTGCAGAGAGTACACACTTCGCAGTAAACCAGCAGCTCTGGTTTAAGAGTTACATATTGATGAGGACTGTAGTTACATATGCAAAATATGAAGTTAACTAAAGCTTCAGTATTGTATTCTCAGACAAACTGTCTTTTTCATGGCCACTGGCCATTTTAATCTTTTGAAAATACAATTTCCCTTACTTATAATTACTAGTGTCTGTAAGAAAGACTATAGTTTGTTTGTCAAATTATAGTTTGAGTTTGTCAAACTGTTACAGTACCTAAGTAACTTCCAAATTTTACTTGATTGTTTGTGTCTAAATAAGCCTTGTATGTATTTGTAGTTATATTGTAGACAAAAATAGAGCCAGTCCAGTAAGATGATCCTGGAGCTCCCATCACAATTAAATCCTGTAAGAAATAAACAAGTTATCATCACTTAAAAGTTTAATCTCACTACCCCAAACACCTTCCAGATATACATTTTAAGCAAACAGTGACAAGAATACATTTTGTAGTACATTTCTGAAATCTGAGCATTTTATGAATTTAAAAACACATCAGGGAAATAAAAAGCCAGCGAACCTAGCTAATGAATTTTCACCTTAAAGTAGAATCACAGAAGAAACTCTGAAACTTTCACTTCACACTCATCAGCAGACTTAGAAATCAAAGGTAGAACCACTGAACACTAGAGTAAGCTTTCGGGAGAAAGGCAATGAGGTTTCCACTAACGTAAATCATATCTGGGTAATTCATCAGTGCATATTACAGAGATAATCATGTTTTCCCAAAGAGTAAAAAGTAGACTTAATTTATTTCACTTTGCAAAAAGTCATTAACTGGTTTCCTTAACAATGTTAGCTCAGAAAAAGACCAATGAAGTTTGGGGTATATTTGATTACAAATATGAATTTAGAAAAAGGAAACAGGGAAGGTTGGAATGAGCAGACAGTTGTCTAATAACATATGAAAACCTTCAGCATTTGAACCTATTTAACATATTTCTAAATTTCCTTAACAATCCTGAATTTTAAAAAAGTCAATTTAAACCCTGAACTTAAAAAAAAGATCAATTTAAATATACACTAAAAAAATCATTACTGTTTTTTTTACATAGTAGGTAATAGTTACAGACACTGTTAACCCAAGGCTTGATACAGACTTTCTACACAGATTCAGAAAACATTCATAAATTCATGATTGATGTTTAAGGGAAACTGGGAACTTTGGAGGTTGAGCACAACTGTGATCTTCCACTGGGAGTCACAGTGAGTGACTAGAGAGGTAGAGAGAGAATACTAGTGGCTGGGAATATATTTGATTTAAGAGGTTAAATTCTTGAATTTCCCAATTCTCATAGTTTTAATGAAAAGTGTGAATTCATATGCTTCCTTGCTCCAAGAAGTAAAAATAACATACTTAGATATTTTTAATGCATAAGTTAACAAAATAAATAACTACAGCTACTTTTAATTTATTTTAAATCCTTGATGAAATAATTTTTTGTATAGACTTTTAATTGATCTTGTGGGACAGAGCCATCTAATATTAATATTTTCTTAAAATATATGTGAAATATTGACTAGTAAAAATTAAGCTGCAATACTGAATTTCCTAATTTAAGAGACACTACTCAGATGTTGCAAAGTTTTTACTGTAAAGAATAATACCAGTCTAAGTCTTCAGAAGAATTAAAATTCTATATGTAAACATTCACAGCAGCTCTTTTTGAACTATTACCTCTGTGTAAAAACTAGATATTCCAGCTTGACATGATGCAAAATTTTCTCCAAATTTTTTCACAAAATCTAAAATGAAGTAGAAAAAAAAAACCACTTCAGGATTTCATTGAAAACCATACAGATTTTGTCTATTTTTATCTTATAAATGCTAACAAACATAGACCACTTAAGGTCTATATTTTACACTACCCCATTTTTAAATAATAGTAACTTCAATTAAATTTAAAATCACAAATGTCTTCCATATTAACCTTAAACTATCCCTTTGAAAGGGCAATAAACATACTTATCCCTGCCTCTTTTTTTGTGGGGAGAATATGTAGCACACACTCAAAATTTTCAAATGAATGTCTGAGACAGGAGTCCAAGTTTCCATTAAAATAGGCTTCCAATCCTTACCAGGGTGCTACTGGTCGCCGTGGCAAATCTGGTGGACCAGCAGGGCCAGCACCTCCCCCTGCATCCCTGAGAAGCTCTGCATGGGGCCTGCCTGACAAGGATGTTCCCCAGGGGCCACAGCTCGGCTGGCAGCAGGGGCTTCTCCCGCATGTGGCTCCAGGCAGCCATCCAACTGCCCCCCCCCCTTTTCTTGCCATTAGGGCTGAACGCTGGGGTGGAGGAGGTGACTAGGCCAGGATGCCAATGAAAAAAATACTTAAATGGGGGCTCCTCACTGGGCCACCAACCAGTTAGTTCTCAACCAATGATGGAAAAAGAGAAGAAAAAGCATTCACAGATAATGACTACTGCCCATATTAATTTGCAAATACATATCCTTGGGATCATAAATAACATAAAAATCTGAGTGTGGGGCCCCTTCTGCTACCAGAGGGTGGAAAGATTTTGAGAAAATTACATGATGTCACTGGGCCAGAGCTTTCTCTTCTGTAAAACGAGGGCATTTGACTCAATGGCCAACATATCTTCCACATCTAAAATCCTATTAAGTCTACTGTCTAATTTCGCTGTTGTCAGTACATGCAGCCACCAACCAGGAACCACTGGTTATCTAAAGTTTAACACATTTCATTCCAACATTCTTTTATAATTCCTCCATTTAAAAATGCAACAGAGGAAAAAAAACCAGATTCTGCACAGCTGAAAGTAACAGACTAAGTCAAGATCTGTGTGGAGATAGGGGGTCTCTCATTACAAAGGCCCCATGAATAGATGGATGCTTTTGGAATTTGCTATGGAAACAAAGCTTTGCTCCTCCTGAAAAACTGAAAGTGAACCTCTGTGAAAATAAGAATCGGGACCCCCATCTTTGCTCTTTGGTTTTGACAATGAGAAAATTTAAATACATTGCTAAGTCACTGATAAGTACTATATTTTGTCATGATTTCTCCCTCCTTTACATATCTTCCCTAGTCCTATCTTTTTCTATTTTTATAAATTTCCCCATAGTTTTAGGGGTCTGATGCTTATGCCATCCTGAAATTTTAGAGAATGTGACTACGCATATCTGAGCAAAAATCAAAATTCTGTTGTGAAAATGTTTCAAAGCATAAACCATAAACCAGTAAGAAGATAATAAACATGCAGAAACCTAGACTGAGTTTTACCCAATGAAAAATTTAAAATTCACCTTGCATGATCTTGACATCCAAAGACAAATCGGGAATGTATATAAGCTCCTCCATGCCATCAAATGCCAGAGAGGAAATACCCCAACATAATGGAGTCAGTAACTGAATTTACTTACTTGATCAAACTTTTGTCCTGTAACACATTTTCTTTAGAGACTACGATAATCATTTTGGTTAGAAAAGCTGGAAACTGGAATATATATATATATATATATATATATATATATATATATATATATATTTAGTGCTCAGTTTTCCAAAAATACATTTTAAGGATTTGTTTTGCTGCAAATATAATTTTTAGAGCTCTGCCGACATTCACCCTGAACTTCCTCCAGTTCAGTTGTTTTATATCCTAGCTCTCCATACATTAATGCTGCCTGTGCATGATCCAGAACTTTTATGGGAAAACCTTTCAAACTTAAGATATCAATCCTCTGCTCTTTCAAGAAAAGTATGGGAATTTGAAAAAAAAGACATAGTAAGCGCAAAACATTTGATTCCATTATTCTTGAATCTTACAAATACTCTCTGCAGCTAAAGGTAAAGCAAGAAAACTAAGCAGTTTCCTCCTTTTAGATCAGATTTTTCAATGTAATTTCATGATTTTAAGTGTCCTATATTTGCTGAGCATTTGACTCACTTATACAGAATTCAAAATGTATTTAATGCCAAACCAAAGTGGGTAATTATCAACTAGATTCTAAAAGTATTCAAATTAAACTATAAAACTTCCTAAAAGCACAAAGTATATTTATAAAAACTAATATTGTAACTGAGTAAAAAAAGAATGATTCAAGCAGTTAAAAAGAATGCAGCTATTTCAAAGATCCCCTCTCCCCATGCATCTAAAATTGAAAATATATTTTTTAAATCAAGTTATTCACTTGTCTTTCTTGATCCAATTCATATCAAAACCATCTTACCTTGGTAACATGGAGCCATCCTTTTACTCAGTTCTGCCCGTAAATCAGAAGGCATTCCATAGCAAACACCCGTGGGGAGCTTATTTTCATTCTTTATATAAAATATATTTTTCCATCTATGCCCACATGTCTGAATAAAACATAAAAGTAGACCAAATGATGTGAAAGCCACACCCAGAATATCTGATTCCATGATGTGATCGGTGGCCCGATCCCGATAACCTACCACGATGGATCCATTTTCTCCTGGCTGTCTGGAAAGCGTGACCCCCAACCACTGATTGTCTCTTTCTCCCAGACAAGTCTTTCCACAAGGTTCTCCGCCGGGGCTGCCTACAGCATTTGAAAACAATGTTGTCATCAGTTACCTTGAAAGCTGCGTTAGTCTGGGCAAACAGAGGAAATGAACACATCCCACTATCCCCCATGTGTTTTTCCTTCGACCATGTGTAAAATGCCCTCATCTCCCACTTCTCTGTCATCTACATCCAGTGCACAGTGCAGGGGTAACAGTTAGTGCCAACCTGTCTTCTCACGAAGAGATTTTTATTTGTAGAAACAACTGTATCATGAAGAGCTGGCCTTGAAAGAGGAGATAACTAACCAACTGGGAGGGGAGAAGACCAGTTTATAGCACCACAGGCTGCGCAGATACAATGGCAGAGTAGAATGCCTGACAAAGATTTCACACCTTTGCTTTGACCGTTTATGTAGCATTATTGGCTACATTACCAGAGCTCTTTTTAAGATGTTTCTTGTATTGAGACATTAAGAATACAAGACAATAAAAGAGCATAAGGTCTTCGGCACTGAAATCGCAGTTTATTGAATTGAAAGGTGAAGACCAAGCATGTGGAAATCAGCCGTGTATAATTAGCATGGTAATAATTACTAGCATTAAAAACAAACTCCCCTATGGTTTACGTTAGTTGATTTGACTGTGCTCAACAACAAAAAAGAAGACTTGAAAAAACAGATCACTTCGGTAGTAAATAAAAAACTTCAAAAGGCACTCTGGCAAACGTATGAATAGCCAGAAAACCCAACAGTAATAAAATATTACTCGTGGGCATTACAGTGCTCCAAAACTGTACAAGAGAAAGTAATCTACATAGTGATAACTTTTTTCTTCTTAGAGTGACTTGTTTTATTGAGGGGGGGGGGGACCCTTGTATTAACGTGATTTCAATTAAGTGATTTTAGGGGAGAATAAGATACCGTACCTTATGATGCCTTTTGCTATTTGTATTTTACCCTCTTCAGCTGCCATGTCACGGTCTTATTCCACCTGGGCCCAATTCCAACGGCAAGTAAATACATTTGCACTAATTTGATTGGAAGAATGTGGAACTTGGGTTTGTTGCCTTCACTCTGAACACTGGTCACTGGTACCAAGGTTTCACATACAATTCTAGGAACCAGTCTCTAAATCAGTCACTGTCTCCTCCTGTAGCCTCGACCCCTAGACACAGCTTCCAGGGCAAACATCCCTATACATCTCTTCTATGAACATTCTGAAGTCTTTAAATCTACAGTCATGCAGGCAATGAAGCGGGAGAGAGGTCAAGGGCAAGAAAGGAAGGAGGTCACAAATAACATATCACTATTAAAATGTCATGTAACATAATGGACACTTTCCTTCATCAAAATTATATTCAGTATTTAGAAACAAATGTACTAAGATGCCATTTTAGAAATTTTTAGAGATGACATCCAAAAATGTAGAAATAGTAAACATACAATAGTTTAGGACCATATACATTGCTTCAGAAAAATGCCCCCCAATTTTTTTTATGTGGAAAGGTAGTGAATTGTTTTTGTCTGCTTCTTGGCTGAGTCTTTGTAAAATTTAAAATGAAGATGAGAGAAACCTGTTATTAAACTGTTTTCTGGAGAAACAGTTGAGTCCACACTGTACCCTCAATTTCGTTTTAGCTCCACCAGCTGACATCCCAATGTCGCCACCGCTCCGAATCTCATGCTAAGGTGCAAACACATCAAAACCAATGGCACTCCCCTTAAACATCTTGCCCTCCATGTCTGACTATCTCTCAGATCTTAGGAACTTATACCAAGGCCCCCTGCCCTCCGCACACTGCCTCACCTCAGCACTTCCCAGGCTTTTAGACGGAATTACAGCAACTTTCCTGCTTCCCCAGCTGGCAGGTGGCAGATTGCAAGACTTTCTCAGCCTCCATAATGGAGGGAACAATTGCAAATTTCTTCACAGTTAGATAGACAGGTGGATAAATCTATCTACCCATCCCATTGGTTCAATTTCTCTGGTGAACCTTAATACATTATTTATTCACTACTATCCTGCTTACTTCTAAGGCTTAGTAAATAAATGGCCTAATTCATGTTGACCAGTAGTACATCTTGTTCATTATTAGCCCAACATATTGCTGGGAAAGGTGTGCTATAAATGGAAGGTCAATAAATAAAAAACAATACAAAACTTCCACCGGGGTTTGGTTTGACTAAGTGCCTTCTCTTTATATTTTGTATCTTAATTTAAAATGTGGGTAACAAAATGGGGGTAAGTACACAGGCAAAAAGGAAATTCACAATACAACAAAGTCATAAACAATTATCCTTCCACGTAAGTAATGAAAATGACTCTAGTAAGTGAACATGCAGACTTGTACCTCTACAGGTTTCTCCTTTTCTTCCTGACACACCTTCTGCCAGCCACGCTAACACTTTCGGCACTGGCCAGCAGACAGGATCTGTTCAAAGTCCCCATTACTGCTGAGTCTTTTCTTAATTTCCAGGAACTTTTTTTTTTACTGTTTTCTTTGTAGTGCCTGCAGAATCTTGGCCGAGAAATAAGACCTTCTCCAGAGCTTTTCCTTAACCTTGCTCCTAAGTCCACTCCTTTATTATGGGGTTTCGGCCTTGACTGGACATCAGCATCACCTGGGGAGACTTCTGACAAATGCTGGCAGCTGGTTCCTGTTCCCAGAGGCTCCGATCTGATTGGCCTGCGTTGAGACTCAGACACTAGGATTGTCTGAAACGCTCCCTGGGCAATGTATTGTGCAGTTGGGCTTGTGAGCAACTGTTCTCCGGTGTAAATGGTTATGCCTTTGCCTATATTAGTGCACACTGGAAAAGAAACGACTTCCTTTGAAAAATAATAGTCGAACCTTTTTGTCCTCCTTGGTTTCAGCTAAATATTGAAATAGGATATCAAATGTTAACAAAATATTTTTCATGTGGAAATCCAGTCTTTCTAAATTGTCCAGAAATGATGATTACTAAAACTGTCATGAGAAAGCTAATTCTCATGAATCTCCCTGACAGACATCATAAATAAACTCACGCTGTGTATATTTTACCTAAATGTCATGCTAAAACGATTTATAATCTGGTTTTCAACTTAGCTCATATATTACTAATCTAAACTTTAAGTAAATAAAATCAGCTTCATAATTTGAAAAGTACATGGTTTAACATAAAAGAGTTCAGCAGAAATTAATATGTGACAATTGTCCATGCTCTTGTACAACTAGGAGGACTCATTCCTAACACAGTTGAATGCATTTTCCCAGTAGGCATTATACATACAAAGCCGTATTAAAGCCACACCCCTTATTCTAAAAACTGAAGTCCATTTGGGGAAGAAAATATAAAGATGTATGGTTACTACTTCCATTTTTATTCCCATTTACTGATTCTGTATCAGTAGACATACATGTATATAGATGTGAATAAGCAGTAATTCTGATAGAGGAATATGAAGATGTTAGTACAAAGTCAATTTGTACAGTTTTTTTTTATCACCCCTTTTGGTTGTTATAATTCCTTAGTGTCACTGTCCCAAGTGCCAAGGGCAGATACTCATCGCGAATGTCACCTCCATGAGGGCAGACACTTCACTGACTGGGGCATTCCCACAGCGCAGAGCAGGCCTCACATACAGGAGGCAGGAATGAAAGGTACACCTGCTGACGGAGGGGATTCTGAAACATGGCACATTACCACAAAAATCCTTCCCTACACTTACTGCTCCTTTACTGCAGCGATTTTCAACCTTTTTCATCCTGTAGCACACACAAATTAATTATGGAAATTCTGCGGCACACCAAAACATATTTTTGCTAGTCTGATCAAAAATAGGTATAATTTTGATTCATTCACACTGGACAGCTGTCGTTGTTTTGGCTGTTGTCATTTTCTTTTAATTTGACAATTTAAGGTGCGACACACTGCTGATTTACTGCAAAAATTTCACCAACATCTCAGGAATCTAAGCTTTGAAGAGATCTTCATTCACTACTATTCTTCCTTCTCTTCTAAAAGATTGCCTTAAGTTTTAAGATAGTAACAGATGGTCTGATTGGAAACAGTATTTACAGGTTTGAAAGTCTTTACAAAGTGGGATGGATGTATGAGTAGGACTATTTAAAACACGGGTGGCAAACACAAGGTCCAAGAGTAGGCCAAATCTGGCTCTCCACCTTGTTTCTACCCCAAGCACTGAGCTCCTTGCCCCTAGTTAAGGAGTAGTTACATTTATACAGCCCTAAAATTACATTGGGCCCTTTGAAGGCAACCGCAAGGCTGATATGGCCCCTGGTGGAAATGAGTTTGACACCCTTGCACTCAAAGTCAGCTGGGGCCCACAGGAGGTACCTATCTGAGAGCCTTTGCGAGAGGATTCTGGGAAGTAAACGAGACACATGTGAAGCTCTTGGACCAGAGCCTAGCAGCGAAAGCAAAGAAATGTTATGGTAGCTGATGTTAAGGCTATTACTATTTTAAGGATCAATCTAAATATATGATTAAATTATACATTTGTCATCGCGTATCTCCTCCCCCATACAATTTGGGGCACATTGCTGTCATCAGGTTTTATCACACACATTAACTCATTCAATTTTCATAGTAGCCGCAGAAGACTACTTTATTAATCCCATTTTCCGGGTGAGAATATTGAGTCTTAAGGCAATACGGTAATTGCCCCAAATCCTTGCAGTTGGTACATGGAAAAGATTAGAATCAAAAACTTGTCCAAAACAGAACATCTGTTGCTTCCCACTACTCTATAGTAAATACATAAAATAGAACTCTACAATAATTCCAGATGTATGAGTTAGCTGAAATCCATAACCATTTTCTACTTTTTTAAAATTGGAAAATGTGTAAAATATCATAAATCTGCCCACAAACTGCACAGTTAACTCTCTAGTGTTCAGGAAAAATGTCATTTACTTGGCCCCTCTTTTGCCCCACCCTTTTCCACAATGTGCATCAGTTCCCAGTATCTTGGCATTTCCACTGAAGCAAGACCAAAGGAAAAAAATCAGACTCGAAGTTCTTCTTTCTAT